TACCTAGTGTCACTGTGTTTGCAGCAACATTTGATGAGGAAATATCCTAGCTAGATGAAGTATTCAAGCGTATGAAAACAGCAAACCTCAAACTCCATCCCAAGAAATGCCACTTGTTCCAGAAAGAGGGCCTTTACTTGGGTCACATTGTAAGTGAGTATGGGGTGTGAACTGATCCTGACAAAGTGAGAGCAGTGCGTGATTGGCCAACACCAGACAATGTGGGAGAGTTAAGAAGTTTCTTGGACTGTGTACCTATTACCAGAAGTTTATGAAGGACTTTGCAACTATAGCTGCTCCACTACATGATTTGACCAAAAAGGGCTAACCATTAATAAAAACTGCTGTTTATCTAAAAGCAACCTATACAAAGAAATATCTTAACTTCAAATCCTGTCATCCCTTATCTACTAAAAACAGTAACGTTAAAAATCGTAGCATGCAGAGTGCGTAGAATATGCAGCAACAAATACGTAGAAACTGAACTTCTACAGCTTCAACAGACTTTTATTAATGATAGATATCCCAAACAATTGGTAAAAACGACCTTTAAAAAACTCTTTAATGAGGAAAACTCCATTAATCAGAAAAATAAATATAGGATGGTGATATAGGTTTAGAAGAAAAATATAAATAATAATGAATATCTTTAACATTCAAACTGTGTTCAAGTGCCCGACTAACCTACGCATTATCTTAACTAAAGTTAAGTCGCAACATTCGACTTCCACGCAAAAAAACGTTGTCTACAATGTATAATGTGAATATAGAAAAATACATCGAAGAGATCAAAGAACACTAAAGAGACATCGTACATGTTTCTGTAGAAATTTCAGCCATTACATTACACGCTGGAGAGGAAAACCACAATATTTGATAGGTTGTTTATGCAGAGTATTTATAATGAATCTAAGTTTCAAATGGACAGCAACTGCCTGTTGTAGAAAACTACAAATGTAGAGGACGACGTTCCAAAAGTCTTTTGTCTGAATACGAAAGGCGGAAGACTTTCGAAACGTCATCCTCTGCATTTGTAGTTTTCTTCAACAGGCAGTTGAAACTTAGAAAACCACAATGTTGACCTCAAGATTATAAAAATTATTGCCAATGACTTTGATACCAAAAAGAGAAAAATCAAACAAGCCATTGCAATAGCAGTCCATAATTGTGGTTCTCCCACAGGCACTAACCAAAATCATGGATTCCACTTTTATACTTGTTGGTTACCTTTCATTAAAGAAATCAAACCATGCATTGACTTTAATGCTGTTATTAAAGTAATCTAATTTTATTATTATTATTTGTTGATTTTTATCTTCTGGCATAACAAACCACAATAATAGTATTGCGTGTTATGTTTCTTGACCTTGTAATATTATTTTGTTTTATCTTATTGGGCTTCAGGCTTATTTTTGTAAAGAAACTTAGGGGATGTTTTTGTTTTTCGTTGTTGCTAGGCAACTTGTGATTCGAATTTTTCCGTTAGATCCTGTTGTTTATTAAACGTTTCGCACCTGTAGAAGACTTAGGTAATTGAGCCTTAAGCTTATGCATTAACAAAACTAAAAAAACTTGATGATAGCCCAAATAAATTACTTTATACAAATATGAGTACTCACGTTAAAAGCCTGAAAAGTTACTTAATTAAATGTAGTTGTGTTACGTTAAATGGAATCAATGGTAATATTATGATAACCTTACCTAGGCCTATTCTGTACTTTTAATTTGTTATTAACATAGTTCAAAATTAGGCCTAAGTAAAGAAACTTGCATCATTTCAATCCAAATTAAGAGTGTTCAGGTTTAATAATAAACCTGTTTCAAAAGTCACGCTAAGTATGTAGTTTATTTTGAGCATTTGGATTATCAAAAAAATATAAAATACAAACAACAATAAAGTAAATGTGGTTTTAACCAGAGGCTTAACACTGTAACAGTAATAGGCTCTTCTATTTTCTAAGTAACATATCACCAAAAAGTTACGGTTTAAATGCAGAAAGCTGTTTACAGTTTAGGCATTCTAAACCAATTAACCTACAATTTGTGATAAATAAGATGTTAACTGCAGCTTTTTATTCCATTATTCCTCATATTTGTCCGTTATAGATTCAAACTGAGGTGTGCAAGAATAGCATATCAGCTCTTTTGTTTTCCACTTGTTACTGTCCAGTGGCTTTTCTTTAGTATCAGAACTCGTAGCTTGGGCTGGAAAGTCAGAGACAAAATATTCTGAGGAATGCCATTTATAGATGCAATATAAAACTTTAAAAAATACCCTTTTACTTAATGAGCAAGATGTCAGAGAGTAAAACACATAATCAGTATACATACCTCTTCCATTGTTTTGAAAATTCCAAATTATTAGTTTTGATACCTATGTGACGATTCTTGTTTTTAAATATAAAAATATATAAAAGTTATGATTTACAATACGTACACAACATTTTATAAACTTGCGTACTTCCAAATTTCCATTTAAAATCTGATTTTAAGTGTTCTTTTGTTTGTTTATTTATTTGAAGTTAAGCACAAAGCTACACAATGGGCTATCTGTGCTCTGCCCACCATGGGTATCAAAACCCGGTTTCTAGCGTTGTAAGTCCGCAGACATACCGCTGTGCCACTGAGGGACGTAATTGTTCTACATTCAAATTTGAGTTAGAAATTGTAGAACAAGGACTATTAAAAGTAAAAAAATGTGCATTGAAATGCCAAAAATTTTAAAAGCGTAACCCATTTGTAAATTTGTCTTGGTAAAGAATTAGATAAAAAAATTGACACACTTAAACAAAATGGTAACAATTCAGAAATATACAAATTTATCTGAAGGTTCTTCCTAGCAACGATTTGCATCATGAATATGTTTGTCCCAGACCATGCAGTCTTGGACTAGTATAAATAAAGCAGAAGAGGAGTGCTGCCCATCCTAACCAATCCATAGATTGATGAAATCAGGATCAGTCAGCTTTTCAAAATTGGGTTCATGGTTAGAAATTGCACTGTTTTCAGTGCTGTGTTTCTCCAGACTCTCCAATACATCCCCCCCCCTTTCAGTGGAGTTTAGGAGTCCTTACCACTTACAAGCTGCTGGATTGGTGGGCTATGTAGGCTTCCTCCTGAGTTTGTTCTATTTCACTCAGTTGAGAATAGGGTATTGATGTTTTGCCAGTGTAGAATCCTCATCCTACTGGGGCACAAATTATTCTACTTGTTGCCACCTGGTTCTGGACTGGAGATGATCCACTAATAATGTTAGTTCACCCCTCTGGTTGGAACCCCTCATTCTACTGCTACCTATTTGGATTAGAGCTGGACTAACCAATATAAGTCCTCACAAGTGAGGTGCATGGTAGAGGACCTCCTTCCTACTGCAGGATTAATGAACCATTTTTGGTACCACTGGCTCCAGACAGAGTTAATCTCCCACATTGATTGAGGAGCTCTGACTTTCTTGGAATAGGACAATTCAATCTCCTAACAGTTCCGAGGATTGAGTTGATCTCCTGATTGCAATCCAGAGCACCATTATCATTTTACATTAGGTGTGCATCTGGATCTGATAGGTTGAGAACCTCATTCTTCTGGGGACTGGGTCATTCCTGATCCCAGTGGTTTGAGGATGAAGTTGACCTGTATTGGTTGAGGACCTGATCAACATTCGTTCAAACAGTTTGAGGTTGGAGTTGGTGTTTCAATTATAGTCTGACGTACTTTAACCACTCTACACCATGGGCAAGTCTAGCCTCAGTTGGTCAAGGACCTCCTCCTTCTGTGAACTGAATATATCATTCCAAGTTCCAATGATTTGGGGATGGAGTTGTTTACATGGCTTCATGTGGACTTGCCCTGTTATCTGTATATTTGGGACACTTTCTGCTATTTATCATATGTACCTCTTTGCTGCCCATTTAGTGACATTGTTTATCTCCAAGGGTGAAGAGTATACCTGGTTCAGATGTGGTGTAGTCTCCCTTGAGTATGTTTCCTCTCTACACAGAGATGTTGGTACACTCCATTGGGCTCACTTTTGATGCATTTTGAAGGGTGCTAATCTAGGTAATGATACACAAGTCCCTCCAACAGTTCAGTGTTGGATTTTAGCAGAGGTAAAGTATCGTATTGAAAGTTATAATTTTCCTACACAGAAAATGTATTTCCGAAAGATACTTTCCTATTTTCACACTTCTCACCCTTCCTCGTCACTTCCAGTGCTTTGTTCTTGGTGCCTAACCTTGAACTGAGGTTAGACTCTATAATTCAGGGAGAGCTAGCTGCATGAGGATAATATGTCACACTCCTATTAGTGGAGGGTTTTGCATAACTGTTTACATGCTATAACACAGCTGAACCACATTAAACATATGGGGGTAGATGGGAGTACTGAGACTCGTGGTGAGTGAAAAATTTGAGCATATAGAGGGTAATTATAATATAGAAGAGTTTTTATGAGAGTTGGTATATATATCTATCAGAATATCTATTATATATATATCTATTAGACTGTTCGAGAAAAGTTACTTTATGGGAACTTTAGTTTTAATTTATTTTCTTGGTGATGTTTTGAGCAAATGCTCTTTTTGAGGTCAGAAACAAGCTTGTTGGTTAATGATAAACTACTACAGGACATTCTGAAATACATAAGAACAGAATGTAACATGAGATAGAAACACAAGAAGTAAATGATATAGTAATGACAATATAACAGAGCTGAAGAAACTAGTGATGTCACTAGTTTACCATTTATCACAAAAGACTTTCTCCACCAGTGTTTCTAGAGAATATGCTATCCATACAATGAAAGAAAGAATGGAAATGTGTTCATCTGGAGATGAGCACTGATTTTAGTTCCGTTTTTTGTTAGAAATATTAATTTCAATTTAGTATATTACTTCTAGATGAACAGATAGCTAGGATTTCTATATTGAATAATGAACAAACAGCACCATTCTCTAGCTTGAAAAGGAAACAATACAGACTACTGTAAAATTGAAGAAACAATTTATCCATCAAGTAGAAAATTAACAACAAAATTCAGAAAATCATCGAAACTTTACCCTAATCAGCTTTTTTTTTTAACCTACCTGTTTCTTGTTGTGGCCACTCTTCCAGTTCCATCGTGGGGATGGATCCATGTGATTAAACCATGGACTAAGGATCTGTAACTGAAAAATATTTAGAGAAAGTAAAAATGGAAGTCTGAGTGTGGAACATGGGGAAAAATTGAATAGATTCAAGGAAAACATCTTCATGTTTATTTCCACACAAACTGCAAGAACTTGAACAGTATTCTTACAAAAAAATACAATGTTTCAATCTAACTTCTAGTAGTTAACAGAGACTTTTGAATTATTTTTGTTCATTATGTATTTTATTTTATCCTACTTCTATACAGCTGTGAATTGGTTAACTGATGAGTCCAAGCTTGCCAAAACTGAAGCTGAAAGAGAAAGTGTTCCTAAGTTGTTTGAAAGAACTGTATGTGACTATCTGTGTAAGTACTCAAAATAATAATAGTTAGCATTGTTCTTTTTTTTCTGAAAAGATTTAAATTAAAAAAAGCATTTCACCGGTATAATGAGAAAAGATATCTGTTCGTAATTACCTATATGTGTCATTCACACGTTAATATTCATATGTATCCAGTATATAGAACAGGACATTGCAAGGACTATAAAATTTTATTCATTCATCATTTTCAAGTCAGTGAATTTTATGATAATACCTAAAATCTTTTATTGTTATCATGTGATAAGTTCTCTGAAAATTATGAAAGCACTACAATAAGAAAGAAATCAGTAAAAATGTGTTACAACATATCTATGTAAACTTTAATTAGTTAAGTAATTTTCTTTGGTCCACACAATTTTATTACCAAGCATGTTTTTAGTACATATAGACACTGGAAAGGTTACATATTGACAAGTGAAATGTGGCTGGATAATGGAACTGTATCAGTAGAATTGTTACATTGAGCAGGAAAACATTATTTCTGTAATGTTACATGATCTGTGTTTGACATAATTGAACTGTAAGTATTTAACATTTGATAAAGATGTATTCTTTTTGGGAAATTTTACAGTTTAGCAGTTTTAACCTAAAATACCACAATTTATTTGAATTTTGTAAGCAACTTTTTAATAAAAGTTACTGTAAATGATATGATTAACAACTGTGTATATCTACTGTAGTTTAAAAAATACAGAGTGTATATTTGTGTATGCATTTGACAAATTATTTAGCTATGAAAGGTAATGTTTATAAGGGGTGTTACTGTATCTGAAATATTATGATAACAGAAATAGTAATTATTTTAGCAATAATGTAGGATATGTTTTAAAAACGTTAAACTTTAACGAGGGAGTCTTCTGAATAACCTGTTGTATTTGTGACTGTATACATTAATTAATTATGTTCTACCCTTTGATCATCAGCTGTACCTCTCTGACTAGAATATGCTGAATTTTCTATTGGAGGCATGGGAGTGAAAAATGACATGGAAAATGCTGGAAGTGTTTTTGAATGGCAATTACTGCCGTAGGTCTCCATGTTACCCAGGGCGATATGATCTGGGAAGCATACAGGGAGTTTGAGAATGCCATTCTCTGTTCTCTGCAAGTAAGTGCATAAACTATGTAGCCAAAATGTAATTCTTGAAAGATCTGGTATTATAAAAGGGGTTATACACCCAATGTTGCCTGCAACAAACTCCAGGATGGTAAGAAAAACAAGTTCACATTGGGTTAACATTGGCATAACTTGTTGCCATTAGAGATATGTAATAATTACTTTCGAACTCTGTACACAACACTGCAATATATGATGATTTCTGATAGTATTAATCTCAATAGTTGTAAGCATGTTTTGATAAATGTTTATCTCCATTCACATCACTTTTTGTCATTCTTTTGTATCCTTCATATTTCAAGTTATTCATTCTAATTGTTATTGTTACGTAAGTTTTATTTTTATGCAATGAGCCATATGTGTGTATAGTCTTTATTAACACTAAAAAATGAAAAGTGATTTTGTTATATTATGTAACATTAACAATTTTTTAAACTAGTATTTAAACATCCCAACATCTCTATACTATATATATATATATATATATATACTACT